AAACACAAACAAGTTCAATCTATGTAAAGAATTGGAGCTCTTATAAGCCGATTACAGAGATCGATTACGATAAGAAATTGAAAGCTCGAATTGGAGCTCTTACAGGTCGATTACGGAGAGAGAGTGGGAGAGAGAGAGAGAGAGAGAGAGAGATGCACCAAAATTTGAAGAAGACTGAGTTCCCAATCTACCTTGGAGCTCCCGACTTTAGGGTTGAAGATTGAGTAAACCCGTTGAAAGAGAGAATGAGAGGGTTGAAGTGAAATGTGGTCTCGACTTTTCAATTGTTAAAATGATGAAAATAATTGGTCTCAAATTGTTTTTAATTGATAATGACGAAAATATATGGTCCCTAAAGATGTTAATAATTTATTAGCAACCAAATTTATTGGTCTAAACAAATTATGTAACTATTAAGTGAGAATATTAACAGTCATTTTTACAATCTTATAAGTAAATTAACATATGTTTAAATTTGTCCCTAAAAGATTATTTTTAGTGACCAAATTTAATTAGTCCCTAAATATTAGTCTCTAAAAGACTAATTTCTTGTAGTGCAACGAATAGATGAGCTTGGCTCCAGTAGATCTGCAAGGATGAACATAGTCGGCGCCACCCAACCGAGATTCCCCGCCGGTGACACTCCAATGATAAAATTAGCCACTGGAATCAGAGAAAGAAGATGGAGAAAATCAAGAGTATTTGTGTGTCGTGTGGCAAAGAGATAAGGCATACCTATATTCATGGCACTACAAGAAAAGTGGGCTTAAAAGAGGGAACTATTTGCGACGGCACACTTGCCGTCTCAAAAAGTCACTTTTTTGCGATTGCAAAAAATGCCGTCTCAAAAAAGCAGAGTATTTGTGACGACACCATTTGCCGTCTCAAAAAAGCAGAGCATTTGCGACGACACAATTTGCCGTCTCAAAATAAGAGAGTATATGCGACGGTATTTTCTGCCGTCGCAAATACTCTCCTTTTTTGCAACAACATTTTATGCCGTCGCAAAAAGTGACTTTCGTGCTTTTTTTTTTTTAGTGAATATTTTTAAAATTTTAAATATTTTTTTTAGATGCACCTTATTTAGATGTATCTAAAAAATAAAAAATTTATGAAAAAATATTTTTAAAAATTAATAAATACATAAAAATACAAAAAAAATGTATTGAATTATTGTATTTTTTTTTTATATTTTTGGTATTTAGTGAATTTTTAAAAGATTGTTTTTATAATTTTTTTACTTTTTAGGTGTATTTATGTTAGGTGTGTCTAAAAATTAAAAAAATTACTTAAAATATTAAAAAAATTCAGTAAAAACAATATAACACGGAAAACAAGAAAGTATAATTTTCTCAAAAGAGTTTTTGGAAATCTCTAACCTAGTATAGTGATTGTGGTTTTGAGACAACTTCATATATATACAGTCACAAAATGGTTTGAATAAATGCAACAGTATTTTTCTATCGCAAAAAAATTAAAAAAAACGATGTCGTCTTACTCTTTTGATATAACATTTCTCTTTTCATTCATTTTTTCATCTTTCTGTCTCTTTGTCTCTATCTCTCTCTCATCTCTTTATCTCTTTCACTCATCACTCATCTTTCTCTGTCTGTCAGTTTCTCTCTCTCCTTTTCTCTTTCTGTCTCTCTCGCTCTTCTCTCTTCTCTCTATCTCTCTCATTTCTTTTCTCTCTCTCTTATCTTTCTATCTCTCTCGTCTATCTCTCTTCTCTCTCTTTTTTTGTGTCTCTCTCTCACTCATCTCTTTTCGCTATATTTCTCTCTTTTTGTCTATCTCTCGCTCATCTCTTGTTTCTCTCTCTTTTTCTATCTCTCTTTCTCTCTTTCTCTCTCTATCTCTTTTTTTGTCTATCTCTCTCTCTCTCTCTCTCTGTCTCTCTCTCACTCTCTCTCACTCATTATTATTCTCTCTCTTTCTCTCTCTATCTACTTGTCTATTTGTCTATTTCTCCATCTCTATGTTCGCCTTGCTCACTATCTCCCTCCCATCTTCTTTATTTATCGAGCTCCTTCTCGATTTATCGATCCACTATAAGAAAATACACTTTTAGCATCCACTTTGTCTCTTTCTCGCTCATCACTCTGTCTCTGTCTCTCTCTCTCTCTATCTCTTTTTCACAAAATTAAAATATTTTTAAAATATTTAAATATTTAAAAAATTGATTTGAATTAAGTTTTGAATTATGTGTTTGGGTATGAGTTTTGAAAAGTAATGATTATATTTTGAATTGAGTTTCGAAAAATGAATGTAGAATTATGATTTGAAAGCTCAAAGCAAACACCATACTTAAATCAATGGGTGAAATTATGACCACCACACTAGTGTCAATACTACTACCATTACCTCTCATCCACCATCGCCACTTCATCTCCTCTACCACTACCACAACTTCACCACTAATCTCCTTCGCCGCCACCACTACCACCACCATGACCATCACCTCTTATTCACCACCTTCACTGTCGCTCCCTTTCCCCTACCACAAAAAATTAGTTCCGGGTTTTTAGTAACCAAAAAAAAAAAAATGAGCCGCGGAAAAATATTTTTTATTAAAATATTACCCCTACTTCTTCAAAATAAAAAAAAATAATCATTTTTTTTCATCAAAATAAAAATGAAACAAATAAATTTTCAACCTTAGTAATAAAAAAAATCATTAAATACAAAAAAATAAATTTATTTTAACCAAAAAAATTTCATTTTCCCACTCTTTAATTCCCCAATTTCTTTTCCCCCTTTTGTTTCTCACGATCTCAAATCATCAATCCCTAATCCCTTAAACAAAAAATTCCCAATTTCAAAAATCCCCTAAAAATTACCCCTACTTCTACCAAATAAAAAATAATAATAATTTTTTTTCATTAAAATAAAAATGAAACAAATAAATTTTCAACCTTAATAACTAAAAATAAATAAAAACAAAAAAAAAAGTTTCATTAACTACCAAAAAAAAAATTTATTTTAATAACAAATAAATAAAACGAGGTCGTTCATGCCGCTATCCTAGCTCTCCTCTTCTTTTTCTTTTTCTTTTTCCTTTTCCCGCTCTTTCAAATTCCCCCTTTTCTTTCCCCTCTTTTGTTTCTCACTCACTCACGATCTCAAATCCCCAATCCCCAACCCCATAAACAAAAATATTCCCAATTTCAAAAAATTCCCAAAATACTCTCTCTCTCTCTCTCTCTCTCTCTCTCTCTCTCTCTCTCTCTCTCGACTGCAAGCAACGGCAAGGGGGGACGACGGCGGGCAACGAGCGACGACGGTGAGCAACGATTGACGACGGCTAGCAGCTGCAGCGACAGTGGCGGTCCAGCAAATGAAAAGCTCCGATCGCTGCTTTAGAGCTACGTCCCTTCCTCAATTGCACTCTCTTTATCTTTAATTGTCCTATCTTTCTCGTGCTTGCTGTTGAATCAAGTTCGTCTCTTCCAAGTAAGATTTGCCTTTTTTTTTACGACTTGTTTAGTTTTTTTGAATCATCAATCGCTGTTTCCTCAAGGTTTCTTAGGGTTTTGACTTCAATTTCCCACTACCCTAATCGGTTCATTTGTTGCTAAAGCGCGAATTTGTGAATGAGAAGATTGGGAATCCAGAGATTTGTCATGGTTAGGCTAGCCAAAGCAAGAAAGGGGAGGACTTCCCATTTGTCAAGACCGAATGCCAACGCGTTGTAGAATATGAGGTTTTTACATATTCTGTTTTTGAGGTATGTTTTTTGTGTTTTTAAACCAATGTGGTTATGCGTTAGCCTATATCTGTGCTTAGAATTTGTCTATGGTTGTCTGAATTAACTCAATGAAATCTCCTTGTAGTGCCTTAATGCTTTAATCAATTGCTTTGATTTTTAGTGTTTGAAAGAACAATTGTTTATATTAACTAGTTGGGTTATTTTGGAGGTATGCATGTTTACAGTTTGTATGCTTTTTTTAAAAATTTGATCTGATTGGTGAGCTATGGAAGAAATTTTCAATGTTCAAAGATAAAGGGAAAAAGGTGCAATTTGTGCTTGCTCATTGTTGCTAGCTGTCGACATTTCCATTTCTTTGCCACCATCTTAACTCAACAAAACAAGTCAAAGATTGAGTTTTATTGGTTGGGCTAGGCTAACTGACTTTTTCCTATATATTTTCTTATTCTTGTTGTGTGTTTGTTGTACATCTATTTACAGGGGTTCTCCTTTCCATATTTGTCCTTGAAAACTCTCTCGTGCATCCATCCTTGGGGATTTTCAGCATCTTCTTTGTGTTTTTGTTAGTCTTTTTCGACATCTACGCTATAGGAATTGGTCCTTACCATATATACATATATGTGCAGTAATTGAAGAAGAGGTCAACTATTGTATACTCCCCCTTCCTCCTCATTTTCTTTCTTTCTTTCTTTTTTTCTTCTTCTTCTCTTGACCTATAGGGAACCACTCCTTTGACTTGGTAATTGAAGAAGTAAACTAGAATTTTCTATCCCTGTGTTGTTCAAGAAGATATTGAGGTAGTCAATTTCTCTACATGATGATGTCAATTGTCAAGTAAATTCTTGATTCTTAAATCGACTTCAAAGAGGAATTTATGAGTTCCGTCATCCTGTGCTTGGACAAGAAATATATTTTTAAAGGGACATTTTTAATGGCACTGAATTTTGTTAAATATTGTATGCTTATTAGTACCCATGTATCTTATGCATGTATAATAGGTTTATATTGATCCACTAAATTGGTACTAATGACATAGAATAGAACACAGTTCACTTTATGTTTTTGTTAAAAGTGTACTAATATTCTCTACTGTTCTCGAGGAATTTAGAATTGATGCCATCTTTTGCTTGTGCATTTCATTTGACGGATACCAATGAATTGTTACCCACTTTGGCAATCACAGGAGACTGGTGTCTTTGGGCTGTCTTCATCACTGATTCTAGTTGCCGCTATTACTTCATAATTTGTCATTGTCAGATTTTAAATTTTTTTTTTGAATCTTATTTTGCAGCTATTTGATGGACACAATGGGCCTGCGGCTGCCATATACTCTAAGGAAAATCTCCTAAATAATGTTTTGGCATGTATTCCTTCGAACCTTCACAGAGATGAGTGGATTGCAGCACTGCCAAGGGCTTTGGTTGTGGGGTTTGTAAAAACTGATAAAGATTTTCAAGAGAGAGGTATGAGTTGGATCTGTGTTAAGTCTTATTAACATTCCATTGCTGGTCTGGTCATGTCACAGTCAAGAGGCCATCACGTAGCTTAAGTAGAAAGCAAAGGACATTTTATTTAGCTTCCCTCCCAAACTTTTTTTTCCACTATCATTTGAGTTCATCTTTCATATACATCAACATCCATGATAGTTTGTGTTTTTTTTTTTTTTTGATGTAGCATTTTGTAAATATATGTCTATTTTAGTTAATTGTTTTATTTTCTTACAACATTGGTTTTCTTTGTAATTGTAATTGCTTATTGAAATTCAGTAGGAGCCCTCTTCTCTCTCTCTCTCTCTCAAATGTATATGGTACTTACACATCGATATGATGACATTTCAGCACAAACTTCAGGAACAACCGTCACCTTTATGATTATTGAAGGATGGTTCATAACTGTAGCATCTGTTGGTGATTCTCGTTGTGTACTTGAATCGGCTGATGGTGAAATATATTATCTGTCTGCAGATCGTAGGCTTGAATGAAGTGTAGAAGAGTAAGTTATATATATATATTTTGCTTTAGAGTGTGGTCAGAGGAGGACATTTCCAAAACAGTGGTATTAATATTATGTTGTAAAAATGATATTCTCAAAAAATAAAATAAAATAAAATAAAATAATTTTTAACAGAAAACAATTTGACAAATTGACGGGCAAGCTAGCTATGGAAGATATCTTCAAACCAGCTTGAGGGGGAGTGTTGGAAAAGAGAATATTCAGATGAGATTTATTGTTGATCTCTAGGGATTGCCTAGTTGTATGTCAACTTTGTAAATAAGAAAAATTAGTTGTATGATAACTAGTTGTATAATAGCTATTTAATTATTTAGTTCCTAATTTAGTGCCTTATATAGACTATAAATAGTGTACTTGTTTATCATTCTGAATATAAAAAAATGAGAACAATTCTCTCCCAATTCCTTCTTGTTTATCTGTGTGTTTTGTGTGCTCATGGAATATCACTGTCACACTTAATGTTGTTTGGTTTGTAGAAGCTAAGTCGTGCAATGAGTCAGGTTGGGCTCTGAAGCCATGGTTGCAACCAATTGTGATCTAACAAAGGGGTTCGGATTGCCATGACAACTTTGCAAATTGTGAAGGAGAACAATGCGATTGATTGTGAAGAATGCAAAGATTACAAAGATTCCCATCAAAGAAAGATTTCCGACAACCTTGCCTTGATATCATGTTAGCAAATATGGGGGACAGAATTATATTAATCCATTCAACCTAATTACATAGTATACACAAGATTAAATAGAAAACAAAACACTAATTAACTCTAAAGACTAAAATACCGCTATAGTAAATATAAATAACCAAAATACATTTCACACTAGCATCATCCACAATCCAAAAAGGTGAGCTAAACTTGATGCATAGTTAAGAGGCTACGTCCAGTCAAATTCCTACCTAACTTTCAAATCCATGATATTTATTTTTTTTTTCTAATCAGCAACAAACAAAGATTTATTAAGGCTCAAGGCCAAGAAAAAAGAGGACAAGATATCCTCTTACAACAGAAATAGAAAAACCAAAAAGAGAAAAAAGAAAATACAAAAATACGAAAAGTCAAAAAATTCTACATAGAACAAACTAAAACCCAATCCGAAGCAAGCAAAAAAAAGCGGAATCCCCCGGAATATTGAGCTCACCGAGGCCCAAAAAAACGCCAAGTATCTCACCCTATCCCATAAGTACTCCATGATATTGAACAAAACCTTAACGATGACAAGTCAGAGTGTCTCCAACATACCAAAAAATCATGATGGATACTTCAAATCCGCTAAATTCAACACATCATTAATTGCAGCTCCTAATCCACGAACTTTTTGCCTAAATACAAACAAGTTTCCATCTTGTGCCACCTCAATAGGCCCATCATAGTTTTGTTCAGGTCTATTAAATCTTGTCTCACATTCATGGAAGTACATAGAGCAAAAAGTGAGAGCCTCATTGTCAATGTAACCTTCAGCAATAGATCTTTCTAGATGAGCTTTGTTACGCACATAACCCTTAAAAATATGCATGTACCTTTGAAATCCATACATCCACCGGCATTGCATTGGTCCTGCAAGGATTGCTTCATGCGATAAGTGAATCATAATATCAAAAAATGATGGTGGAAATATCTTCTCGAGCTTGCACAAAATTAAAACAATATCTTTCTCAAGTTGTTCTAAGACATCAACTCTCAATGTCTTTGACGATAACTCTTTAAAGAACAAGCTAAACTCAATTAATGCCATGCTCACATCCTTTTTTAGACATCCACGTAGAGCAATAGGAAGCAATCTTTGCAAGATAACATGGCTTTTCAACCCTGTAATTCGACAGTCATTAATTAGTGTTCACACAATGTGATATGTTTGATGCATAGCCATCTGGCAATTTAATTGAACTCAAGAATTCACAAAAATTCCTCTTTTTAGTTGGAGACAACATGAAGCAAGCAGGAGGTAGGAATGTTTGGCCATGTACTTCTCTTGGATGCAATTTAGGCCCTATACCCATACCCATTAGATCAAGACGAGCCTTGTATGTGTCCTTGGCTTTCCATCAATGTTCCTAGAACATTATCACATACATTTTTTTTCAATGTGCATAACATCAAGGTTGTGACGAACTTTCAGGGTTTTCCAATAAGGTAAATCAAAGAAAATGCTCCTCCTTGTCCAATTTAAATATCGAGGAGAACGTTTTCACTTCTTCACACGTTGATCTATTTTCCCAAATAATGATGGGTCTATATGCCCCAATTGTCCCAAAACCTCCTCTCCTAACAATAACTTGGGTTCTAACCTAAGCTCTGGCTCACCATTGAATGACTTGCTTGTTCGCAAAAAATGATCATGGGGCAAAAAACGACAGTGTCCCATGTAACAAGTTTTTCTACAATGTTGCAAGTATTGGTGAGATGCATTCTCATTGCATGACGGACAAGCCAATTTGCCTTTGGTGCTCCACCCAGATAAATTACCGTATGTAAGGAAGTCATGGATACTCCATAATAATGCCGCACGCAATTGAAAATTAAAGCTACTTGATGCATCATAGGTCTCTACTCCTACCTCCCATAATTCATTTAGCTCATCTATTAGCGGTCGTAAAAACATATCAATGTCAAATCCAAGAGCTCTACACCCAGGAATAAACAAAGGCATCATAAAAAATGGATCTTTCATGCATTTCCAGGGTGGCAAATTGTATGGGACAATAAAAACTGGCCATATGCCATATGAGGTATTCATATTCCCAAATGGATTGAAGCCGTCACTTGCTAATCCGAGCCTAACATTTTGAGGATCTTTGGCGAATGACTCATGCTTTTTGTCAAAGTCTTTCCATGCTTCAGGGTCCATCGGATGGCACATTACATTTTTCTCCTCTACGTGTTTATCTTCGTGCCACCTCATATCAGTAGTTGTCTTTCTTGATATAAATAACCTTTGTAGCCTTGGTTTTAAAGGAAAGTATCGCAGAACCTTGTGAGGGATCTTTTTACCTTTACCTTTATGAAATTTGTATCTAGGCTCCTTACAAGTAGGGAATTTATCTTCATTTTCATACTCCTTCTAAAAAAGTACACAATCATTCTTGCATACATGTATTTTTTGATAATCAAGGCCCAAATCTCGAATTATTTATTTAACTTCATTGTATGAGCATGGGAGTGTTTTATCGGTGGGAAGTGCATTCTTCAACAGTTCTAGCATCATCGTGAGTGATTTGTTGCTCCATTTATTGAGAATCTTTATGTGTAGCAGCTTAACAATGAATGATAATTTCGAATATCGTTGGCAATTTGAATACAATTCCTATCCTACATCCCTCATTAATCTTGCGAATGTATTTGCTTCACTACCATGAGCACCAGACAAGTCAGGATTACGACTACTAGAAGCTTCCCCAGTATAGGCAAATGTGGATGGTCCACTATATATGTCATGGACAATTTCTCGCACCTCGGTATTGGGAGAATTTGATTTCTCTGTCACATCATTGAAATATTCATCATTTTCACTTTCCTAGGGATCACTGTCAACTCAAAGTCTTCCCCATGATACACCCACCTAGTGTAAGTTGTGACAACCCCATATGCAAACAAATGAATTTCAACTTCATCTATGGTTTTTTGGATACGGTTGTTGCATCTATTACACGGACACCAAATCTTGCATGTCCCTGATTTCATATGATCACGAGCAAACATGATAATTTTTTTTACTCCATCAATGCATTGATGTAACCTTCTATTATGAAGTTGCATCCAACTCCTATCCATCCCGAAATCCCTATTACAAAGTACACAAAGACATTATCCTTAAATTCCAATATCTTGTTACTTTCTATATGTGGTCTTAAAGGAGGAACACAACTAAATTCTTGAAGAAGTTTCACTAATATGTATATCTACTTTGGACTACGTAATTCATATCTATCTTTCTACAAACATAAATTCAGGGATATATTACCAAGGCACACCAAATAACATTTGTTAAGGTACTTAAGAAAAAAAAATATCAAATGGGCCGAATTAGTCAGTCCAATGAGCTGGATAACGAGTTATCAAAAAAAAAAAAGGTACTTAAGAAATCAAAGGTGCAAATAAAATATTCAAATCTAGGTTCAAACAGCAACAACAATACAAAAACAACGCTAGAGATTAAACTATTCAACCAGCAAGAAAACAACCCATCCATTATCTATTCAAGCACAACAGTTTCCATGCTGCAAGGCAATTATATTACAAGCAACGGGCAATTTAAAGGTCCATATATCAAGGTCATAGACCCCCTCATAGACCATCTTATACTTTGCTACTTGTTCATGTTGTTATATGCTTTTTTGATAAGGTTTGTTTATTTATTATTTTATCTTCTTGATGAGTTGATACATTACACTTTGCACATTTGTTTTCGTTTCTTATGGTTAACTTTGATTTTATAGCTTACCTGTTTATCAAGTTCTGTATGTCTAATTGTGTTTGTTCTTTTCTGCTTTTTCTCCCCATTTTTTCCATTTCTGCTTTCAATGTTAGAGTGCAACTTTATGTTTTTCTCCTAGTTGTTATTGAAAGCAGATTTGAGAGGATTTAATTCGTCAAGTTTCAGCTCTAATAGTGCATGTCTATGGTTAGAATCATATGAACCAAAATAAATATTAGTGAAATAAATCTAGGGTCTCTTAGAATTAGGAAAAATCACTATTTCCATTTGCTGTCACCATGTTTAGAGGTGATTTTTACTCCTTTTGTGGATTTTTCTTGTTTCTCATACTGTGCATATGATTATTCTTAGCAAGTATCTTTTTTCTTTCCCCCCTTACTCTATTAATCTCTTTTGTCCCTACGTTTTCTTCAAACTTTATCTACTAATTTGTGCTCTCATGTGATTAAGGCTTGTTTCCCTCTTTCATGCATTAGATGCATGTGTTATGATTTATGGTGTGTTAATATCTATGGTCCAAAGTTCTTTAGTGCCTAATATA